GTCGTGTGTGTGTGTGTGTGTGTGTGTGTGTGTGTGTGTGTGTGTGTGTGTGTGTGTGTTTGAAGAAAGCAAATATTTCTCTTTCCTTCCAGGAATGAAACAACAAAGGGAAGAAAACGAAACATGATCAGGGAGGGAGTAGCATAAAAATGCCAAAGCACTTTATTCTTGCAAAGGTCATAATATTCCTGATAGTAAGAACAATTTCACGAGAGATAATTGTTTATTTAAAATCTTAGCTCTTTCCAGTGAAGTCTTATGGTGCCACGAGATTCACGGGTATTTACAATCTTACTCATATCACTCTACACAGAGTATAATAATACTTCTAACACCATCAAACATCCACCCATGTCTATCTCAGATCCTTGGGTAGGACTCAATAGAAGGATAAAAATGCAAAATATGATTTAAACATCTGGCTGACTGTGCCATGTATTATTTTAATAATACCATAAAATGTGGCAAAAGAAAGCAAAGATACCAATAGTAACAGGTGCCTCGTGTGCAATCCCCATACAACTGTGTGCTCTTGGCATTGACAAAATCACTATCTCAATTGCAAAAGACAGTTTTACCGGAGCAGCTTACGTCCGGCGACCATACCTTTAAGCCCAACAAAGGATAACATATGTCTATCTCAGGTCCTTGGGAAGGATTTGATAGGTGGATAAAATACCAAGTCCAGTTTAAACACCTGGCTGACTACGCAACACACCATAATATAAAAATAAAATATAATACTTGAGTATAATAAAAGAATAATTCATAGAGCAATGGGTTATTTTTAATCACCAGAGGGCCGGACAAGGAACAACGGTTTGAAACTAACCAAAGAGAGAAGTAACCTGGAATTAAGGAGAAACTTCCTAACAGGGAAGACAATTAACCAATGGAACAGCTTGCCTTCAGAAATTGTGGGTCTCCATCACTGGAGGTTTTGAAGAAGAGGTTGGACAGCCACTTGTGTGAAATGGCATAGGGTCTCCTGCTTGAGCAGGGGGTTGGACTGGGAGACCTCAAAGGACACTTTCTATTCTATTCTATTCTATTCTATTCTATTCTATTCTATTCTATTCTATTCTATTC